TGGGCAAGGGTGAAAAATAAGAACCAAGAGAGACTATGTAAAGGTGCAAATTTCCAATGATGAATGTCATTATATTGTACACCTAAAATGTACCAATAAAATTAATTAAAAATCAATAAATAAGTAAATTTCAAACAATGTGTGCTAGTCCTTTTATTCGTTTTTTTTGTACTGGGTACTGAATGGGGCACACTATATGCCCCGAAAACCGGTACCCCAACCCTTACTCTAAGACGGGGGCTCACTAAACTGCTAAACTGTCCCGGTTGGGCTTTGATTTTGGCAATGCTCCTGCCTTAGCTTCCCAAGAGTGTTGGGATTAAAGGCCTGTGCCACCAGGCCTGCCTACTATCCCCTTCTTTGGAAATACAGAAAACAATGGTTTATGCACCTGAACTACAAAAGCTTCCTGAGAATGACACACAACAAAGTCAAGGTAGTGGTGGCCCCTGGAAGGGAAGGGAAGAGCAGCAAAGGAGGAGAGCAGGAAGATGTGTTTTAGCAGGATCTGGTATATTTTATTCCTTTAAAAACTAAAAAAGTCACCACACAGAAATAATAACCATTTGAGAAGGTAAAATAAAATACTGAATAAATCTTTTAAAATCAGATATACAAATCAAGTAATAATAGTAATATATTTTTGTTGTTGTTGTTTTGTTTTGTTTTGTTTTGTTGGTACCGGGGATTGAACTTGGGTCCATGCGCTTGCGCAGCAGGCGGCAAAACCACTGAGCTAAATCCTCAGCCCAGTAATATATTTTTAATGCAGGCTATGTCTAGAAATGTGAAATAGAAATAGAAAATTCCGAAATCTTTTGGTAGTGTTTAAAGTGTGTCATTGTTAACCATTTCTTTTTTTTTTTTTTAATTTTTTTTGTGTGTGTTAACCATTTCAAGAAGGAATTCGGGGATGTGTGTGATTTCGTTTTTCTTTTATCTTGTCTCGATTTTTTGCTTTTAGTTTTTGCACCCCTGGAATTGAACCTGGGGCCTTTGCACTGAGCTACATCCTCGGGCCTCTTCTTTATTTTTTATTTTGAGACAGGGTCTCATTGAAAGAATAAGTTCCTCAAAGAAGGCTTCAACTTGTGATCCTCCTGCCTCAGCCTCTCAGAGGGCTGAGGTTACAGGCATGTGCTACCACAACCAGCTTTATCTCCATTCTATAACTCACTACAATAGTTGTATGTTACTATCCTTTCTTGTTCCCAGTGCTAGGGATAGAACCCAGAGCCTCCTGCATGTTAGGCAAGCTCTCTGTCCCTGGGTTACATTCCCAGTCTCATGTGTTACTTTACCATAAAAAAAAGAATATGGAAAATGTGCAGACATAATCCTTGACAACTTCTGAAACCATTCCAAACCTACACGTGGAATTGGTTATTTAAAACCAGCTTCTAAGTCTGATTTAGTGGTTGCCAAAGGAGCATTCTCCATAGGACTAGGTGGCACAAATAACTGAGTCTTCTCAGCCATCTTAGCCAGCAGGGCAGCACCTGCAGCCGCCTCGGCACAGTGGCCCTGGCTCCTCCTGTACTCATGGCAGACTGACAGGGTCTGGTCTGCACAGCCACAGGAAAGTCTTCTCTGATTACACTCAGACTCAGTAACATATGCACCTTTGTATGCAAGAATCAACCCAATGAAAAGTCTTGCAGAGTTGAGGAGTTGAGATGATTCTGGAAGTTAATGAAGTAGAGATTCTTTTATTCCTGAGTCATTGAGTCATTGTTTTGGTTCCAAACAGGAGAAGTCAATAGTCGCCTGGTGACGGGGGAAATATTTGTGGTCTTGCATGAGGACCCTAACAATGAGCCAGCAGAGCCATCCACATAACAGAAGCGCATACTCCTTTGATGTCCGTCAAGTTTTCATGTTTCCTTTTCTTTTTATCTGGATTCTCCCTGTTGATACTGTCCTGTTCTTATTGTCTCCCTAGGCCAAAAGGACTGAGTTCAGTGAACTAACCTGGCAGGGCAACTAGCACAACCCTCAGGAGCCTGCAGGTATTTGGTTCGCTCTTCTCAGGGGTCTGCTACAGATGGCATCATACTGTGATGACCATAGTGCCCAGAAAGCCTGACCTGATCTACCTCCTCATGCTATAGCTGGAAGACTCTGGTGCCCATTGCCCAGGCATAGAATTGCCAGATTTAGCCGATAAAAATACTCGGTGGCACTTCTTGAGTTGGGGGGTATAAGCGTGACCCTAACATTGCATGGGGCATACTTATGAAATTCAAACCTAACCAGGAATCCAGTATTTTATCTGGCAACCCTACCCAGAAATCCTTAAGGTCTCCAAAACATTCCACAGAGCTGGGGTGTGGGAGTGTACACACCTTCATCCCAGGACTCTGGGAAGCTGAGGCAGGAAGATCGCAAACTCAATTCCAACACAAACAGCTTAGCAATTTAGCAAGACTCTGTCTCAGAATGAAAAATAAAATATAACCAATGTTTTTTAAAGTAGCTCAGTATAGTGGCCTTGCATTCCAGTATTGCTTGCATGCAACTGGCAGAGTGACCGTGCAAGAGGAGAGTTGAGGACTTTGTTGAATGAAACTCTACCATGTCCATTTGGATAGAAAACAGACAACAACTGCAAATTTAAATCCACCTCATCATCATAGAGGCGTTTCCCTCAGTGCATGAACTTCACAAGTGAATTACTGTCATCTCTCTTCAGGCAGAAAGAAAAAGCTTGCATGCCATATTGTGGAGAGCTGCGTGTGCCGCGCCTTAAAGATGGCGCTGGTTTCCGCCTTCCGCCATCCCGACGGCGAGAGCTCTTTATGATAAACAACTCCTTATTTGGCTGTGATGTGTCTGATGCTCTGCCCCCTCTTACGTGTACCTATCCGCATTCACCACATGACTATCCGTGATTGGTTGGTTCAGGGGTACTTATTCTAGGGACGGGTGCTCCCCAGGGGTAGAAGAAAAAGAATGTTAAGTTTTCCTGAATAAACTGCTAGAAGAAGAGCGTTGGTGTTGCGTCGTCATTGCTGGTCAAAGGCGAACGCGACACCATATGGCCGTCTTCTGAGTCACCCAGACTCTGCTGTCGCCGCAGTGGCAGCCAGCATCTCTCAGCATCTCTGGGCTGTTTTCGCCACGCAGCAGAAATAGAACAGATCTGAGGGAATACAGAGGGGTGGAAGGCCAGGAACTGGGAGAGAAGGTATTTTCCAAAACCTTTCTAACCCTTCCTCAACTCCCTCCCTCTCCCCACCACCCACCCTGGTCCCTAAGTCTCCAAGCCTAGGGAGTGCTCTTAGGAAGTTGTACTCAGAGTTGGACACAAACTTGCAAAACTTTAGGACAAAATCCTCCTAGCTGAAATCAGTCCATGGAAGAAAAAAGGGACTGATGCTTGTTGTATAGTCAGTGCTGCATGTGAAGTGTGACGGGTGAGGGGCACCTATTAGGGGACCTGTGAGTGGGAGGTGTGGGGAGGCTCCCTAGTAACAGCACCTAACTACCACGTGGAGAATACTCGTGTCCTCTCCCAGCCTCCCACACCATGTCTGCACCTTCATTAAACTGCATCAGTCTCCTCACTGTACCCCTAGACACCAACCCAATTTGAGGCACACAGAAGACACTCAAAGCTTTTTCTATGTGTGGCACTGGGGATTGAGCCCAGGGCCTCATGCATGCTAAGTGGGCACTCTACAATGGAGCTACATCCCCAGCCAGTTCTATTTTTGATTTTGAGAAGGTCTTGCTAAGTTGTCCAGGCTGACCTTGAACCTTCAACCCTCCTGCCTGAGCCTCCTGGGTAGCTAGGAATAGAGGCAGAAGCCACCACACCTGGTACCAAAGCCACTTTTTAATGAGTAAAGAAAGAAAACTTCAGCCACTTATTTAATAAATATTTTTAAATTGGTTTATCGTTTTAAAAAGTGATTTATGGGTACAAACCAACAATGAAGGAATATAGATGCACCTCTTTCTAAAATGTTTTTTCTTAGCATTAATTGTACAATAAAGTCTAACCTTAAATTAAAAAGCAGTACAAGATAGTATGCAGCAATTCATGTATACTTTGGCTCAAGTGTTTACCTTAAGTCTGACAACTGCAAAATATTTGCTCCTGACTCGCAGTTCCCATCACTCACTGAAACTGCTGCAATACAGACATAATCGTGGGTCACAGAGAAAGGCACACAGCAGTGTGTTTTGTCCTCTCTGGTGTCACAGCCAAAGGACAGTCCCATCCAGTGAGTGGATTCCTCACAAATGGTTATGCAGAAAAGTTTCCGCCACAAACCATGGCCTCCTCCTGCTCATTTTCCAGCAGAACATTAGGACTGAAGATCCAACAATTAGAACTTAAATCTCTTCTCTGTTAATAACAAATCCTCTCCATCCTTGTCCAGCTAGAAACAATCTGCCTGCTCAGTTCTATTTCCGCTCTGCTCCTGTGTAATTTTGGTTATGTTCCCATTTCTGTGAGTTTATAGACCTTGAATGGAGATGCTTAGACAACAGTACCAGGCATGGAAAGGTGCTGTTGGAGAATCTTCACCCACCGTTCGAAATCTAGCTTAAAAGTCTGTTCTGGATGTCTCTAGAGGGTAAATAATTTTATAATGCTATACAAATAGCCCTCAGGAGTTCTGATATTTCACCTATAGGGTTGTTTCTGTAGATTTGAGTTGTTAGTGTAAGAATTGGGTTTTGCAGAAATACTGCATTGTTTTCTAAAAGAAACTTAACTAAAAATCTCTCTTTCCTATGACTTTCTATGGCTTTTAGAATTCAGAGTTAACTAATATTTTCCTTTCTGTGTCTTGGTTATTCCATTTAGTATAATGTGCTCTATATTCTAAAAATCCAATACATAAAAACAAGATAAAGCAGAGAAAAATAGGAAGACTCAGATCAAAGGTAAAAAGTTGAAGTTACTTAGAATGAATAGATCTAGAGACCTAATGTACAACACGAGGGCTGTAGTTAAGTGCCTTGTACAATGGTAATTTGTCAAGTGAGTGGATTTTAGGTGCGCTCACGAAATGTACATACGTGCACACACACAGCAACTAGATGAGATGATGGGTGTGCTCATTTGCTTTTTGTAGTATCTGTTATCAAGATGAGTGTATCAAAACCTGATGTTGTACACCTTATGGATACACAAAAACAGACAGACATTTCTGAGCCCCAGATGATGTCTGAAAAATTTCACATAGTATTTCATACCGAACAACTCTGAACCAGGAAGGACTACATTTAAAAGTCCTTCAAGGTTCACTGTAAAAAATCCCTGGCCTGCATACAGGCCTGAGAGTTTGTATTCTGACTTCCTATCTACGTGACCTTCAGCACTTCTTTTCTTCTCAAAGTTTCTGTTTCTCCCTTCCTTCTTTCCTTTCTTCCTTCCTCCTTCCTTTTTTTAAGGCAGTCTTGTTATGTCACTTAGGTTGGCCTAGAACTTGCAATCCTCCTGCCTCAGCCTCCTGAATAGATGTCCTTATCTTTATGATGGGAATAATAATAAACATTTAAAGGTTGTGCAGATTGAAGGTGATAGTGCATATGAAAAAGCTAGCACTTACTATGAAAAGCAGGAAACACTGGCTGTTATTGCTAGTTTTATGAGTACTAACCCTGACTACACTGAACTACAAATTGGAGTGATGGCTCTTTTCAAAGAATACAGTCCCAACCCTTTCTGGAGAACATTAAGGCCAGTGTCTGCAGCCTCGCCTGGCCGGCCGGGACCCCACCTCCTGCTCTCTTGGTCCTCAGGAAGCCTCCCTGGCCATCTGCCGTCCGGGTCTCACAGGGCAGCACACTGTTCTGCCCGGTCACTGTCGCTGGATGGGACTCTGAGGTAGTGCACTGCACCTGCAGCTTCAGGTCGGTGCTGGCAGATGAATGCATTTGTATACATGGTGTCTAGCACTGTACAACATATTAGCCAGGAAGAAGTTGACAGAATAACAGTTTTTTAGAAATGTTAATAAAATATTAAGAAGCAGATGTTTACAAGCGTTGCTAGACCTGTGCTGAATAAGCTTATCTTTAAGAAGTATCATTAGTGTAACTGTTGGGCAGATTCCCCAGAATTCTCCTCCTGCTTCCTCTTTGGCTCCCTCTCTCTGTTTTAAATCCTGAAGGACAGAACAGGACCTAACATCTCAGCCCCCAGGGTCCACCTTACAGCCTCCTCCAGCCCTCACTTAACCTTCTGGGTTAAGAGGAAACATAAATCAGGAGAGAGTTGGTCTCCTGCGCTCAAATGGTTCCCTGAAACAATCTTCCGGGGACCTCGATGGCAAGCAAACCTGGAGCACAAAGCCCCGGATGTCCAGTTGGCCAGCACGCTGGAGAAAGAAGACACCAGTCAGGAGGCTGGGCTGCAGCATCTGCCACTGCGAGGACAGGAAGTCCGTTAAGGACCTTGTGCCCCAGTTTTCTCAGCTATGAAATCCAAGCAATATCCTCTCCCTTGTTCCACTTCACAGGCAGGAAAGTGGCATTGAGATGCCCGTGTGAAAGGACTCTGCCACACCACGTAGGATCCGAACACGCGTCGCTGTGATACATAAGGAGCAAATCCAACTGCTTTAGTAACACAGGGAGGGACGGGCAGCCATCATATCTTGGGAGCAGTGGCTAGTGACCACATTTTCAAAACCCAAATCAGGACGTATCTTTGGCATATGATCTGACACACGGTTTGACCACATGCTAGAACATTCGAAGTAAAAATTGTCCTAAAAAATCCAGGACATGTGGTTGCCATGGCGATGAGGAGCCGTAGGGAGGCCCTGGGCAATGAAAAGCCAGGGTCGAGCTGGCAAGCGCGGGGGACTGTCTTGCCAGCGATGTTAGGACAGTTTGGAATCGGCTGAGGTGGAGGACTGACAAGCCCAGAAGAAATGACTGTACTGATCTGAGGGTGAGGGGAGAAGCGACTGAAGCCCACTTTGGGAGATTCTCCCGCCACTGCGGGAGAATCCGAGGTAGGTCGGCTCGCAGCAAGCCGGGAGAGGGAGAGATCAGGAGGCGTTTCGGCAAGAGGCGCTGGGCCCTGGGCTGAGCTCCCTGCGGGTCCCAGGGCAGGCCTGCCCGGGGCGGAGGGAGCCGGGAGCCGGGCCCCGCCTCGGGACCGCAGGCTCCGGCCCTCCCGGCCTCTGCCGGGCTCGCCTGCGCCCCCGCGGAGCACACCCAGGCTGGGGACAGGCACCCCGGGCTACGGCGACCGCGCGAGAGGGCGCCCCTCCCCGCGCACCCTGCAGACCTCCGCGGAGCGCCCCGCCACGCCCTGCCTGCCGCGGGCCCCGTCCAGCCCCCCAGCCCAGACCCGGGGTCTGCGCACTCCCGCAGCGCCCTGCCACCCTGCCGGCCCGCACTGCGCATTGCTCCGCGCCGACTCGCGTCGGCCTGCAGACTGGGCCGGGCCCGGGCAGAGGAGGGAGGGGCGGAGGCTGGGAAGCCGGGAAAAGGGGCCAGGAAAGAACTGATTGGGCTGGCTGGGGCGGGGGATGGGCACAGAAGGAGGTCGGCGACTGTGAAAGAGTTATCTGGTTCACCGGGGCGCTGGGGTAAATTCCTTGGGCAGAGGGAAGTCCTAATTGGGGTGGAGGCAGCGGCCGAACAGGCTGCAGGCCTGGTGCACAGCGCAGGTAGGGGCCGCAAGGGCGCCGGGTAATTGCGGGGGAGGAGCAAGGCGTGGCGGGGCGGCCAGTGCGCCGGCCATCGAGTCATCCTCCGAGGTGTGAGGGCCCCCGCCAGGGCTCAAAGCCTGACAAAGTGTGGGGAAAGGCGCGGTGCATAACTTTATCCCACGATGGGCTGGCTCTAAGATGGCTAACGCCAAGTTGTCTATCAAAATTAATAGGCCGTTGCTGCTTCTGATAGAACAAAAAAGGGGAAAGAATTCTCCTACGTTTTATTCATTTATTCGTTGCGGGGGGGGGCGGGAATTGTGTATCTGCTAAAAATTTCATTTAGTAAAAAAGTTGGAAGGTGATTAACCTTGATTTTAAAGTGCTGTGAATTGCAAGCTTTTTCGGCACGTTTGTGATAATCAAAATCACACCTTCATTATAATAAGAAGCATTTTCTTCTTTGAGAATAGATTGAAACTCTGCATCTAAGCTTATGTTGAGAGGCATTGAACCTGCAATTATTGATTATATCTTTGATGAGTTGGGGACTCTTTAACTT